AATTTTCGATATTCCTTTTTATTTCTCATCAAATGAATGGCATTTCTTCTGGACATCCTAGCTACTCTTAGCATGATATTGGGAAATATCATTGCTTTTACTCAAACGAGAAAGAATTCATATTTTTGCACTTCGTTTGCTATATAATACTTCCATTTCAATGTTTTCACCGGGTAAGTAAAATTTAGTCAGAATTGAAATTGACTTATTGATACATTTGAGCTTAATATGAGTGATAAAACCAACAATAATTTGATTTGATGTAAGAGCATGATGGAAGAGATGTAAAAATTATGCATTAGCTGTACTTGTTGATCAAAACCAGTGATAAATATAGCTTATTGAGAGCTTGAACTATAATTTCTGATTTTCCACATCATGCAGGTTTTATATTTAGTTTGCCTTTCCCTTATCAGTAAGAGTATCTTAAATGTTAGATCATCACAAAAGTTGACCTCATTCACCCCTTCAATATCTCAACATATAGTCTTAGGAATAGGTCTCTGCAGGCTTTCTATTTTTACCTTTGTGAGCTTCACCTTATTTAGAGATATTAGTTATAATTAATTATGCACAATTGTAATGGTCAATGTGCTTTCATCTCATTGACTGTCAACTGATGCTGAGATTTATGTGAGCTGCTTATAGTACTTATTTTGGTCACTCACTAGGCTCAAATATTTAAAAGAAACGGAACATTTAATTATATGGTTTAATGAATTGAGCCCTAGAATCACGTGCAACAACGTGAAATGTTAAATGTCATTATGCTGAAGTCAAATTCTAAATGTGTCTTCAAAATTCACTTCAAATTCTCCCAGTATAGAGTGGTGGACATAGAGGCATGAGGTAATTATGGAAACTCCCCAAGCTGATATCAACTATCTGCATTGGTACACTGATTCTTGTTTATCAGCATTGTAATTAAATTTGAACCTGACTCTAAACCGAACAATATCAAGTCTTTGTGCTATAAGGTCTCGACTACATATCTGTTTGTTACCCGGTACTTACCGCTATTCAATTGGAATTTTCCATTGTGCTTCCACCTGTATGTGTTAGATTTTAATATTGTGACATTTAATTCAGATTAGTTAATGAGTTTCAAAGCCAGGAACTTTGCACATTTTAGACGAAGATCGTCGGTCCATAGTTTTCATGGATCTCTCTTGGTATAACTGGATTAGAACACAATATGGATTAGTTAATGAGTTTTTTAAACCAAGAAAGGTCTCAAACCTTCCATTCTACTAAAATCTATGATAGAAGGACTTTATATTTTGGATAATTTAGGATGAAGATCGTCGATTCATAGTTTTCCAGGACCTCTCTTGGTCTAACTGGATCAGAACACAATGATGTATTATTCTACTTTAACCTATTGAGAACCATTTTGCCGCTAAGAGAGAATAAAGAATTCCAATCTAGAAAATCATTCAGTCCGTCTGAGGCGGTCTAGTGAATGTTGAATCCTTCCTTTTTTTAAATGGTTAAAACAATTTTAAAACATCTACATGCTGTGAAAAATTATATAAAAGAAATTTACCCCTAGAGTTAGTTGATCTGAAAACAATCCATTAGGCTAATATCTGAAATTTTCTATCACTGAAGGTACCTATGGTAACTACTGAGTCTGGGTTGCAGTACAAGGAAATCAAAGTTGGTAGAGGACCAAGCCCTCCTGTTGGATTTCAGGTATATTCCTAATAAACTGAAAATGTGTGTTCTCTTATAACTATAATATTTGTTTACGTGTCTATACACACCTACACCCACATGCACACAATAATACATATACGTTCAGTGGATCCACTTATCATTCCTTTTTCATTCCGTCCTCCAGATAAGAGAAATCAAATGTAGGTAGTTCATAGAATGGAAGCATTGGTAGGATATAATGCATTATGCTTACAGTATGTTATACCTGATACTTGAAACAGCATTACAAGCAATTTGTTTTCCTGTCAGCATTTTTACAAGTGTCATGCTGGACAGCTTTTGAAAAATGTAGTTTACTCTCAGTGCACATTGGCCTCTAGTCTAGCTGATATAAATTTTTGATAATAGAAAGAAATTACCATTTTTTGCCAAATGCTGAAATCAACTGGACCATCTGTCACTAGTCTTTTTATCAGTTTTATGTCTCATTTATTGTCTTCATTTTAAATTTCAGATGAGCCTCCACTCACATGCCTCCTTAATAATAATTCTGCTTTTCCATGTATTGATAATTCCAAGCAGCTTTTAGTTCTGTCCTTAAAATGTTTTTGCAATACAATGTTGTGTGTTGATAAAGAGAGTGGTTGTTTTCCACCTAAGATTATTCAGTAATAGTTTCTCAGCTAGACAGAACTGTAAAGTCTGTCAATTACAATTGTTGTTATTGGATTATTTAAAGTGAAAACTGCAATCTGAATCATTTGAGTAGGCTTAATATTAAGTAGGATAAGGGGTCCTTTTGGTTCCTCACACAAGGTTTAGCATCATAACAGGCTTTAAACTTTAGGGAAATTGTAATTCGTAGGCTTTGATTAACTTGAAATTTTAGAAGGAATTATTATTATCCAGGTCTTCCTTTTTCCCGATATAAAAAAGTTTTGAGAGCAACCATCTTTGGTTGTAGTATGAGAGACAAGAACTCTCCTTATTACATCATACCACAAAGTGTTGTGTATTTTCCTATCAAATTTCATGATGGTCATCTATATGCCGAAAATCTCTAAGGGTGCGTTTGATTGCAATGATGGAAAATGAGTGGAAAGAAAATATTTTATAGATGGAAAGCGGAAAATATTTTCCTACTTCCCAGGAAAATGTGGCCTATCAAACACGGCCTAAATGTGATTATAAGAAGAAGAAGTTAGGGAAATCATTTTTCTAGGGAAATCATTTTTCCCCATTTTGATTTCCTTTCCTGTTCCTTATAAAATGCAACCCAACGGAAGAATGTTCTTTATCCTCCATAATACATTTCGTATCCAACTTAACAGGTTGCCGCTAATTATGTTGCCATGGTTCCCTCGGGACAAATATTTGACAGGTAATGATCTTACACAACTTATCTTTTATCCACTGTAATATTTTGCGATAGTGCTACTCATGGGGAATGAAGATAAGAATATCCTTAGTAGATTAGGGATAATGATAGTTTAATTTAGATTAGCATCTTTAGTTTATAATAGTTTTCTAGTTCGACTTAAATTTTTAGATTTTATTTCCTTCTCAAATTAGGTATACTTAGACTCTAAGCGCATATATTCATTGTAATACTTAAGACTTAATTATTGAATAAACTCATATTTTCTCCCACTGAATTCTCTCCCCTTTCTTCTCTCTTCCTCTTTCTTCTCTCGTTCTTTTTTGTTGCATCCTACAACAACTCTTTATTCTTTTTCGTTCTTCTATCCTTTTTTGTAATATGCAAAAATGTTGAGTTTTGTCTTTTGAGGAGCTATTAGCACTAATCTATATAGAGATAACATGTCACGAGAAAAAAAAAACAATTATTTGGACGTGTAAATCCACATATAAGTAAATTCAATATTGAACAAATTGCACTCTTAGACACACTACCCAGATGTATTTAGATGTTATATATGATCCTGACTCCTCCTATCCTGAAATCTATTTTTCTTTTCCTTTTCAATTTCACAGTTCACTGGAGAAAGGCCAGCTTTACATTTTCCGCGTTGGCGCTGGTCAGGTAAGCTCTACAAAAGTGTCCCAGCTGAATCTAGAATTTCGAGATAATATAGCTGCAAAATTGTGTTCTATAAGGATGTAAATATCAGCTACAACTGAAAATGTTTTATTATTCAGGAATGCACTCTGCTGCTTTCTTTTATTTCTTTTCTGCTCCTACATATATCTGTCTCCACGATCTTTCCCAACTCATGTGCCTTTGATGTTATTTATATTTTTTAAAGGGAGATCAAAGAATTCCCCCAGACGACTGATGGTGCTGTTTGGTTGTGTTTTCAAATTAATGAATCTGAAAGGGCTCAAACAATTAATCTGCAATGGAAAGTACTTAATCCGAATATGCTTTGAAATACCCAGATATTCTATGTGAAAAACTAAGATTGAGAGTAAATTTTATGTTGGCATCTATTTGTCATTTTCGATTATTTTCAACTTAATGAATGATCTAAACTAAAATGACTAGAATAGGTGATCAAGGGACTGGATGAAGGGGTCCTGAGCATGAAAGTCGGAGGAAAACGTCGACTCTACATTCCGGGACCAGTAAGTGCTTCAGCTATAATTATGTATGTTTCTCCACTCAAATGTATAGGGGTTTCCTGCATGAAATTAAAATTTGATAATCACACTTTAGCATATTCGTCAAGATTCTAAGGAACCTAGATATATATACCTTACCAAGTCTTTTCAAGGAAAAAACTAGACATAACAATATCCCTATATCACTTTGTATAGTGCTTGAAGTATAAAAAATTTGGCCTATAAAAGGTTTTACAATATGTTTTAATCAAAATGCTATCGATTTGATGATTGGGTTTATCAATTCTCAAGGTGTTCTATTTTGCTTTTTCATTGTTAAACTTTTTATCTTGTCTTCCTCTCATAATCTTTGCTCAGAGAGAAAATTAAGTGGTAAAACAATCATAAATGCCTTCTATAAGTTAATACTGCTATAAAAAGCTGACAACTTACTCCCTGTATAAGATTGACCATGTACCTAGAATGGCCAATATTGAGGTTAACACAATGGCCCAGCTATCTTCGATGCTTTGGTTCTCTAATCAGGTATGATGGTTAAGCTGTCAATCCAGTTCTCTATCATATTCGTGTGGAGTTGGACTAAAATGATTCTCCTAAAGTTTTTCTCCCACATTTTTATATATGGGGGATGTCAACGGCTCCACGGTAGGTTCACAGAATCTTTTTTTAGCCCCTATTTGACAACCATTATTTCAAAACTCTTTCATTTGTGTACTCATTTTCAACTATTCATTTACACAATAAAATATTTTGTATGTAAACTCAAAATTTTTCCTTACTTTTTAATCATACATTTTCCAAAAAATCACAATTCAAAACTCCATTTTCTCAAGATAATGGCCATCAAACAGGGGCTTTGTGTTGACATGTTCCTGTGCACAAGTTGCCAATATCATTTTGTTCTCTTGGCTGAGCTTAAACCATTTTGGAGCATGTTTGGCTAATCTTAAGAAAAGGTGAAAATACTTTTTAGGTAAGTTTTTTCTAGAAAAGTAAGTTTTCGAACTTAAAATAATGAAGAAATTTTATCAAGTAGAAATGTATTGGGCAAAAAAAGTTAAAAAGACACATTCTTGACGAGTAAATGGAGAGGAAATGTGGAATTCTATTGTCACTAACAAAAAGTTTCACACCCTTCTTTTTGTTTGATCAGTTAGCTTTTCCAAAAGGCCTCACATCAGCTCCGGGAAGGCCACGAGTGGCTGCTTATAGTCCAGTTATATTCGATGTTAGTTTGGAGTACATACCCGGCCTTGAAGACGATGAAGAGTAAACATCACTACTCAACTTTCATCCATCTTCAACCTTCAGATTTGAAGAGGTTCACTATGTCTATGTATTGTTTATTTCCATTACTTCATTCTTTAAACTACACATTTCTTTCCATGTATCATTGGTATAATTCGAGAAGTCTAGCTGGAGTTCTGTCAATTTTTTGATCTGAGAAATGAAAAAAATTGTGATTCTGCCTCACTTATTTGCTCGCAAAATATGCACAAGAGTTTTAACTGTTAAAATGCAACACAGTATTCCCAACTAAAATTATTGGGTAAAACTTTCAATTATAACTTTTTCACTTAAAAAACTTGATGCATAATCTAATCATGTATACTGCAATCTTGGTATCCCGCGGATCTTCGACCTGTACAATATATTTACTATACAAGAACTAAAGAAAAAGCAGAGGTTATGCACTACATCAGGTCCTGCATTAGGTTCAACCAAATTAGATATGCGAATGCATATATGAATACGAAATCAAAAATTTCGTCAAAATATTAGGAAGAACAGAAGAAAATGGATTTCTTTATCTTTCAACCAAATGTTCAATATCTAACGTCAACAAAATCTTTTTGGCCAACTCGAAGTTACAAAACAATTGTAGAATCAACGACAAAATGTAAAGATCATACAAATCTACGGTTAATTGAAAGAAACACGACTATAAGAACTACACAAGGGAATCTAGTTCAATTTGTAGTCTTAGAAGCTGTAGAACGAACTTTCGAATCCTCTTTCTTATCGGAATCTGCTGTCTTTCTCTTGTCTTTCCTCTCCCTCTTCTTTAACGCAGTCATCCGGGCTTTCAAGATAGTTGCATAGCTAGCTTGAAAGCGCTGCTGATCTTTTGGACCGACCTGTTATCAAATCAAACAAGACGTGCTTATCAGGTCAAGGGAATCACATAGCAGTTCCAGAAAGTAATTACCTCCTAATTGTTATAAACAATATGGATACAGTAAACATAACATAAATCGACGTAAACATGCATGTAGATGCAATTGATGTATGAAACAAATTACATAGCATCACGTGTCCTGAGAAGGGAACTGATATAGAAATGACAGGATCGCCATGAAAATCAATTACGTTGTCAACAAAAAACAGAGCATTGTTATAAGTGATTAGTGAATATGTAGAATCTACGAAGACTGTCATACATGTGGCATGCGAGAAATATAAAATGTAAAACGGAAATTCACCAACATTTTGTAATAGTCCATTACAAAAAAAAAAAAAACAATAGGTTGTATAATCTGGGGATAGGCATTTGATTTCCTGGCTATGGTACTTCAACACTTCGGTCATATTGTACCAGAAACATGTCATATTGTATAAGTGCTATCCTCTGGCCGCAGACACCACTTTCTATCATCGCCCAATAGCCAAACCACTACTATAATCCAGTAGTCATAAACAAGACGTTGATTCCTCTTGTATCATTTTTAAGCCACGTGTATAATTTTCTCCATTCGTCAATCTACGTATAACATCTTTAAAGCATCCTAAATGGTAAGCAGCACAGTTTGCTAGTTCCATTAGAGTAGGTAACATTTCTAAAGGAAATAATGGTGTACCAAAATATTCTACACTTTTCATGTATCAGATGCATACATGAATCTTTTTGGCTTCAAAAGAACAAACCCAGTTGTCTAAAAATCTTAAGCATGATAATTCAAAATTTTATAAAAGAACTAATGAGAGAAAATTGTCTCACTAAAGTGGAAACAATCAAGTAGAACAGAATAGAGCAATTCTTATAAATTGAAATCCAGAACTTGGTAGGTGGCATTTAGAGTGAAAAGGTATATTTTTTTCCAAAAAGGGAAGGACTCATAATTTCCCTAGTTTGATGAACTCAGAACCTTAAAACCATTGATATACTTTAAATGAACATGACAACATGCCCTAAAGAAAAAAGTCTCTCTTTTTGCCTCAGCTTCTGCAGTTATGACCATCTCTGTTTGATTGCTAAGGCATTCTTGTGAAAACTTTAGCAGAGAGTAGTGTGATTGATTAATATAACTTCACTGAAGGATAGTCCTGCCGAGTCTGTGTTCAGGGTAAGAAGTTTGTGTACTTCTCACACCTCCATATTCATAAAATACTATTAAAATACCATCAAAGCTCTTCCTATCCTGTCTGAAGCTCAACCAGTGAATTCCTTCATGATCTTTCTGCTTGCTACTCCCTGCTTCGCAGAGAAGTTTATTCGATCTTCTCAAAAGTAAAAAACCCAATAGATACTCAACGCATACAGATTACCTCTGTAATGCCATGTAGAGTAGTAGAACAGACTAATTAGAGACGCATGATTAGAAAGTGGATGTAGTTTTGTCACGAACTATCATTACGTCAGCAATAACAAATTAAGCCATTTTCACAATAAATTAGTCTGGCTACACGAATCTTTATCCGCCACTTCATTTGATTCACGCTAGAACTGTTGGAAGATCTAAAGCAACTACAAAAATTTCTCGATCATATTTCTCGATTCCGACTCAAGCATGTATAATTTATTAATAAAATCGCTAAATGCATATCATAATAATTTTATTTAAAATCCTTTAGGGCCCAACAAAAATGCAATTAATAATTGATTAAAAACGTAAATTTTAAGACATGTTAAGAAACTTCTTACTTGAACTCATATTTTTTCAATTCCATTTGTTATGAAAATATGCATCTAAAGCTATTTGCTTTTTCTTTGTATTCAAACTGAACTCAACTTCATCTTTAATTTTTTGCATTGTATATAGCACATTTGGTTTACTTTTCTCATTTTTAGAAATTATTTAAGTTTACGATACTTGAAAGACTTATTTTCGATAAACAATTGGTAAAACATAGCTATCATTTAAATTATGATCATCATCAGTAGCCATATTCCATAGCACTTGAAGAATATCTTCGTTAGTTAGTTATTCAATTATCATACTATTTTCATTAGGATAATTGAAGAGGTGCTCGACATAAATCATTTTTACTGTCGACTAGAAATGACTTTATAATATATCGATAACTTAATATCCCCTCTAATGTAATAATTTTTCTCGGTCCCAACATTATTATTTTATAACGATTTAGTTTAGATCATTTGCAACTAAAACATGCTACCCCTCCTTTTGACTTCTTTTACCAAGACAATTTCAGTCTTATTAATGAGAATATCTTTAGATCTACAAAACACCGTCTCAACCACCTAAATTGGCATTCCTTTAATTTATTCTCATGATTCCACATGCACTTGGTGACATATTTTCAAATTTCTTATCTTATCCATTATAACACGATCACACATATATCTTAGAACCCTCATTTCTGCATTTCAACTTAAAATCTTAAAACTTAGGTTAAGTGCAAGAAGGTTTTGAACATGAATGCCACTAGTTGTCCACATTTCTCTCTTTATCCATCAAATCCCACAACTATTGCACTCCTCTCCCTAAATCTTGTCTAGGTGGAACTGAATGAAATGATGGCTCAACCGACGTAGCCTATGAGAACAATTGTGTAGCAATTCCTCAAACTAACCCAAATTTGCCAGAATAAGAAAATACTAGCACGTGAAAATAAATACAATATGAAGGGAACTTCTAATTAAAAACTAAAGCACAATAATGTTCCACCCCTGTGAAACATAATTGCACAACATATGCATGTCTATGGAGGAGGAACTACTACAACAAACTAACCATTGTTCTCAATAAATTAATCATTGGATTACAACATATGTAGTCAAAATCGGACCGGACCGTCAGTTCAACAGGTAACACTGGGAACCAGACTCAAAACTGGTCCAGTTTGTGCCTAGAATCGTCTTTTCAGCTCAACCAACAACATTCAAAAGAACAAACCCAGTTGTCTAAAAATCTTAAGCATGATAATTCAAAATTTTATAAAAGAACTAATGAGAGAAAATTGTCTCACTAAAGTGGAAACAATCAAGTAGAACAGAATAAATTGAAATCCAGAACTCGGTAGGTGGCATTTAGTGTGAAAAGGTATATTTTTTCCAGAAGGAAGGACTCATAATTTCCCTAGTTTGATGAACTCAGAACCTTAAAACCATTGATATAATTTAAACGAACATGACAACATGCCCTACAGAAAAAAAGTCTCTCTTTTTGCCTCAGCTTCTGCAGTTATGACCATCTCTGTTTGATTGCTAAGGCATTCTTGTGAAAACTTTAGCAGAGAGTAGCGTGATTGATTAATATAACTTCACTGAAGGATAGTCCTGCCGAGTCTGTGTTCAGGGTAAGAAGTCTGTGTACTTCTCACACCTCCAGATTCATAAAATACCATCAAAGCTCTTCTTATCCTGTCTGAAGCTCAACCAGTGAATTCCTTCATAATCTTTCTGCTTGCTCCTCCCTGCTTCGCAGAGAAGTTTATTCGATCTTCTCAAAAGTAAAAAACCCAACAGATACTCAACGCATACATCTTACCTCAGTAATGCATGTAGAGTAGTAGAACAGACTAATTAGAGATGCATGATTAGAAAGTGGATGTAGTTTTGTCACGAACTATCATTACGTCAGCAATAACAAACTAAGCCATTGTCACAATATATTAGTCTGGCTACACGAATCTTTATCCGCCACTTCATTTGATTCACGCTAGAACTGTTGGAAGATCTAAAGCAACTACAAAAATTTCTCAATGATAAAATTTCTCGATTCCAACTCGAGCATGTATAATTTATTAATAAAATTGCAAAATGCATAACATAATAATTTTATTTAAAATCCTTTAGGGCCTAACAAAAATGCAATTAATAATTGATTAAACACGTAAATTTTAAGACATAATAAGAAACTTTTTACTTGAACTCATATTTTTTCAATTCCATTTGTTATGAAAATAGGCATCTAAAGTTGTTTGCTTTTTCTTTGCATTCAAACTGAACTCAACTTCGTCTTTAATTTTTTGCATTGTATATAGCACATTTGGTTTACTTTTCTCATTTTTAGAAACTATTTAAGTTTA